AAGAGCGGTCAGAAGGCAAGGCTCTCTCCAAAGAGCCAGCCAGGTCCTGCCGCCACCGCTGCCCTGAGGACAGTCCATGCCCTCTGCCAGGCCTGACAGCTCTCAGGGCGTACCCCGGGCCCTGGCAGAGGGCCAGGTCAGGGTTAAGCGTTCCTGATAGAGGCAGCTGTGCTGGGAGGTCTGCGGGACCTCGGGAGCTGGGCCGGCAGCCTGAGGCATCTGTTCCAGACCTAGAACTTTCCCATCATATGCGGCGGGGTGGGCGGGGCAAGACAGGGGCCAGCGTCCCCCTCCCCAGCACAGGCACAGCCCCACCCATCAAGGAGGCCCCCCAGTCCTGTCCACTGGGTCAGACCACGCTGGGCAGCTTGAGGGCATGGCCTTATTTCTCCTGGGCTTGGGACCATCAGCTGAGACCCCACCCCCACAACTCTGGGTCCTCCTATCCACCCTCAGGCCCCTAGACAAGCCAGCCAAGACCTCCTGAGGTCCACGCTCCAGCCCCCCACCAACCATCTGCTTGTGCATCCTTCCACCCAAGGGCCCAAGTGGGCTCCCCAAAGGGCAGGGGGTACCCTGTGAGGCTCAGTCTGCCAGGGAGTGGGTGGAGGGGTGGGCCGCACTGACCCATCCCCTTCTCCCTGGGCAGGGCAGTAGGGAAGCCTGACTCAGCCCCCCATAGGCAGCCATCCCAGCCCTTCGGAAGACACCCTGCCGCGTGAGACTGTGCTTCCGTTTCCCATCCCCCACACACGTTTTTTCTCAGCCTCACTAAAACAACGTCCAAGCCCAGAGGACTGGCTCTCACCCAAATCAGTGTCAGGAAGGGAAACGGAGGCCAGAGAGCGGGTGCTTGACCTCCAATAGCGACCCTGCTCCTCCCGCGCCCAGTGGGCTTACCTGAGGCCTGGGGGCAGCGGGGGCCCAGGACAGCCCCTGTTCCTCAGAAGACAGCTCTGGGCTGGGACACTGGCTGGGGAGGAAGAGGAAGATTTGTCTGCTTGGGAAGGTCTTGGTCACAGTGTAGGCCAGGCCCCCCAACTCCCAGGAGCCGCCCAGAGCCACGCCTGCAGCCCTGCCTGGGCAGAGCTCCTCTGGGGGCCTCAGAGCTGGGCTGGGATCTGGGGTGGGGGTGGGCTCCTCCCAGGAGGAGCAGAGGCAGGAAAGGAGCAGGAGGGGCCGGAGGAACTCACGTGCTCACCTAGTCCAGGGGGTGGGGGATGGGGGTGGGAGGGGTGCGGGGGGAGGGGGGAGAGGCCTGCCGGGGTGGGGGGGGCACCTAGAATCCCTGTGTATGTCAGAATAGGTGGAGAGCGGGCGGTCCTCAAAGAGAGGTCTGGCCTGGCAGGGAGGATGGCCGGAGGCTGCTGTCATGTCACGGCAACAAGGAGGCACAGGGACTCGGCCTATTGCCAGGTGACTAGAGTTCACGCAGCCCTGGGAGGGCCCTGGGGGTAGGAGGTGCTGTCAGCAGTGACCCTTGGGGTCCCCTGGATGGTGGCAGCAGGCAAGGGGTGTGGCCCCAATGGGGAAGGCGAGGTGTGGCGACAGAGACAAGGCATCCCTCCTCCCGGACTCAGGCCCCTCCGAAGGGTGGGTGTCCCCCACAGGCTTGCCCTGTCCTTGTTCAGAGTATCTGAACTCCAGGGCCAGACATGGTGTCCCAGAGATGGTTCCTGAGGCTGTGGAGCAGGGGTGTCACCAGCACCAGAGCAGAACCCAGACCTGAGAGGCTCACCACACCCCACAGCTGGACGGCAAGGGTACCTCCCTGGAGCACGGCCCAGGGCTTCAAGTCCGGAAGGTTCCACCACCTATCCAGGAACATTAGTGCCTCAGGCCCAAGGAACCACCTAAACAGCCTGGAAAGGCAGGGCCCAGAGACGGCCAGAGCGGGTCCAAGGTCACACAGCCCACCAGTGCACACCTGGCTACCCCACACCTGCCCCAAGTTGCTGCATGTCCCTGACCAGCCCACCAAGGAGTCCAGAGCAGCTGCAGACCCGCCCCAGGGAACTTGGACACTGCCCCATCCCCCTTTGGCTTTCGTCAGCCAAGGAGAAGGGTCAGCCACTTCCTGAGTCACGCCTCCCTCCCCCGCTCCCCAGCTCGCTGTGCCGAAGCTGCCCAGGAGCCCCGACAGCCCTCATCTGTGACATCTAATCCGCAATAACCCCGCAAGCCTGCACCATTTGATAGGTAGAAGGAGACGTGGAGGCTGACCAGACATTGCTGCCTGCCCTGGGTCACACAGCCAGAACAGGCCTGGTCCTATCACTCAACTGCCCTTAGGCGGGCGTGGCATGGAACCGACCCAATGCACTACCATGAAATCTTCCACCAGCGTGACCCTGGGATGGGGGTGCCATGACAGCTCTTCCCCTAGACACCATCCCCTCCCCTGCAGACCAGGGTAACTAAGAAGATGGACAGGGCAGGATCCAGGGACCAAGGCCCAAGACCTGTCCCCAAGGACTGGACATCAGCCAGGAACATCAGGGTATTTGGTCCTGCCTGAATGGCTGCATTGCAGCTCAGTCGGCTGGGAGGGGTCTGCAGTGGAGAGCCACAGGACTCTGTCTCAATGCCTGAGCCTGCTCAATGGTTTTCTCCCTGCCTGGGATGGCATGAGACATGGCAGAAGTGGCAGGAAGGTAAGAAGAAGGTCTGAGTGGGCAGAGGATGACCCAGACCCCCCAGGTGACCTCAACAGGAAAACCATGAGCTGAGGCAAGTTGGAGGAAGCCCAGCTGCAGGTTCTATGGAGGGGAGACAAAAGTGAAGGTGTCTCAAAGGCCATGTCAACTGAGGCATACATACGTACAGAACAAAGAAAGCCCTTCCTCACATATCAAGTGTGTCACATTCTGTCCCAGTCAGCCCCCCACACCCACATGCAGAGAGGGGACCTGGGGGCAGCGGGTCTGGGCTGGAGGTCTCCTCCAGACCCCACGGCTCCTGTCCTAGGCACAAAAGGTGGTGAGTTCTCTGCCCCCAGGAATATGCAAGCCTCACCCAGCCAGAGATACTGACCCTGCCATCAGCACCACCCCCTCCCAGTACACACACACATACACACACACACACACACACACACACACACACACACACCCATGCTGAATCTAGGCTGAGCGAGCGTGTTCCAGGACGCAGCAGAGAAGACAGCATGAAGGAGAGGGAGACAGGACAGACAGCGTGGGCTTCCTCGGCTAATCCTCCAGCCCGAGTCACAGGGGCGAAACTGGGCACAGCCCCAAACCCATTCACAGGCCTGAAGTCGAGGCTTAGGTAGAAGGGACTTGGCCCTGGAGGCACGTGGATGGACAGGTAGGCACCCCTTCACCTTCCTTACCACCAATGCCCACAGTGAGGAGTGATGTCCCCTAGGTATGAGAACACAGCTCTGGGCAGGAAGCTTACCATGACCCAGACCGGATTTGGGAGGCTCCTTCCCCAAGACCTGATAACCACTACCTGCCAGAAACCTGTCGAAATAGCTATACATGCCTGCAATGACCACAAGGGGGCGGGCGTCCCCGGAGTTGTGCAATCACCCCTTGTACTTGTACCGGCCATGCCCCACCCCCACCATGAGAGCAAACCAGAGCCCGAGAGGAGATGTGGCCCGAGGACACAGCACCTCAGCCCCCATCACCACTCACCTCCACTCCAGACCCGCCACCCCAGTGACCCCACCACCACCCCAGGCTGCCCCATCCTTCTGGGCCTCAGTTTCTCCACACTGCCCTCCTCCCTCTCAATCCAAGAAGCCCACTTCCCCACCCTCCTCCACCCACCCCACAACTGTAGCAGTCAGCCAGAAAGTCTTG